GGATGAGCTGGGCAGAAAAAGCAACTCAAGGAAGGCTTTTTCAAAATGGCCCTCTTTTCAGTGGAGCTTTACCCCTATATTAGGGTTAGGGGTGTGCACCAGGGTAGGGTTAGGGTTGGGAAAACCAAGTGTCCTGGCATGATTCTGATGGTTGGAGTGTGTTTAGAAGGGGCAGAAAGGATGAGCTGGGCAGAAAAAGCTACTCAAGGAAGGCTTTTTCAAAATGGCCCTCTTTTCAGTGGCGCTATACCCCTATATTAGGGTTAGGGTTGTGCACCAGGGTAGGGTTAGGGTTAGGAAAACGAGGTGTCCCGGCATGTTTCTGATGGCTGGAATGTGATTAGAGTGGGCAGAAAGGATGAGCTGGGCAGAAAAAGCTACTCAAGGAAGGCTTTTTCAAAATCACGCTCTTTTCAGTGGAACTTGACCCCTATATTAGGGTTAGGGGAGTGCACCAGGGTAGGGTTAGGGTTGGGAAAACGGGGTGTCCTGGCATGATTCTGATGGTTGGAATGTGTTTAGAAGGGGCCGAAAGGATGAGCTGGGCAGAAAAAGCTACTCAAGGAAGGCTTTTTCAAAATGGCCCTCTTTTCAATGGAACTTGGCCCCTATATTCGGGTTAGGGGTGAGCACCAGGGCAGGGTTAGGCCAGTGGAGGCGAACCTACGGCGTGCCACAGCAGGCACACGGAGCCCTCTCTGTCGGCGCGTGAGCCAAGTCATCCTAGGATCACCCCAGCAGCAGCCGAGCATCGGATAACGGTGCACACAGGGGCCATGCGCATGCTCAGAATGGAGCGGTGGCGCCAGGCTATGACGTCACTAGCCACAGCTTATTAGTCAGGACCTGTCCGAGCTTTTGCATGGCTGGTCAGTGCGCTGCCAAGGAGATATATTTGCTTGGACTGGCTGGGAGTTGTTTTTTCTAAGCTAAAAGCTCAGTTTTCAGTTTTATTGAATTGCTGGCATTTTGCGATAAATAAGTGGGTTTTGGGTTGCGGTTTGGGCACTCGGTCTCTAAAAGGTTTGCCATCACTGCCCTAGACAGTGTCTTAAGTGGTTCACCACACACACGTGTAAAGTGCAGCACAAAACCAGTACAGAAACACAGAAAGAGCGAGTCAGAAGAGGGCTCCCGGGCCATCTAGTCTGACCCCGGCTCCAGCCGGCTGTGCTCACGACATGCCCACCATGTGCACGTCCAGCCTATCCTTGAACACCCGCACTGACGGGGCCTCAACCACCTCCCGCGGAAGCCCATTCCACACCAATAAGCCTTATTCCCATATATAAGCCGGGTTGTTAAACTGGTGAACCCAAGTATTCCATCCCATGCATGTTAAGGCAGAAAAAAGTCCCACAGCTCCCAGTGCTTCCCAGTCCTGTACGTGCTCGGAAAAGACGGATGTGGTCGCGGATTCCGCGGAATTGTAAACAGAAGCTGCACAAGCCAGAAGTACCGTCCGTGGCATTTCTATGCAAAGATCAAATGCCTGGGAAAGAGCAATAGCCAAATACAACCGCAATCAAGGGACACATTCCAGACATCTGGAAAAACTGCATCGCACGCTCCCGAGCTCAGGCCAGAAGAGCTCGGGACAAACGGAAGCGCAGTCCCTCGGGCAAACCCGAGCGCCAAGGAGCGCAGCGGGGCAACTCCGCAGACCCCGCCAGGCGACCTCGCACGGCCCGCGCCCTCCCGGCGGCTTCCCCGCCAGGCGGCGGGGCCGACGCAGGCCCGTCCATCCCCGCAGGGGCCAGGCAGCGCTGGGGGGGCGGCGAGCCCGGAGGCGGCGGCGGCCCGGCCTCGCGGGGCACCTGCGCGCAAAGGGCGCCCGGGCGCTGCGGGCTCGCTCGGGGGCTGCCC